GCATAAGACTTTCCAGTCTTGGTAACTACTATTTTTGTTGAGCCCTATGTGGTCAAGTTATCATTGGTTTCCTCCTGTATAGTCTCTTTCATTGTAGTCTCGTTTTCTCCATTCGACCCCCTTTTTTTTTTGGTTCTTATAGCTTCTATTCTCGTTGCTCCTATGTTGGTTAGTGGATTCCAACGGAGCACCCATTCTCTCCACCACCATTCATAAGGTGATTCTCGTCTCCGCCTGGGATGATTGCAGGCTGTCGTTCATGCACAAACCCTAGTTTACTGAAAGAATGTCTATATGTTTAGTTACGTTTTGAAGCATAATAAATTTAGTTTTTTTTATGTTATGAATTATGAATACAACATCTCATATTTGTGTAGGACTTTTGAACTGGGTAGAGGTGTTACAAAAACCATGGAAAGACCCACTGTCTATCAGTAAATTTATTCTTAGGACGTACTATGTGTACTTTAAGGTTGAACACTACTTTTAATGAATTCTTTTTTTTAAGTATATTTTTAATGAATTCATATATTAAGACTTGGGTATTCTTATTGAGACATGCTAGACTGAATTTACTTTATGAGAATAAGCTTACTAGAATGTTCTTAATGATTTTATAGGCGGTTTGTTCTTTTTTAAAATAAACTTTATGTAATCGCCTACATAAGTATAAATGGCTAACCACCTTCCATAATTGAAATTATCTTTCTAAAGTACTTATGAGTATCTCGACCCATATTAACTAAACTTATTGAAATATCGTGAAACTCAATTGAACATGACTATTTGTGTGTTATCAAGTTTAATTCTTCTTATAACAAGTTCAAGAGTTATTTCACTTCTTAATAGGATCAACCACTCTATTTCTTCATGTTCTAGTTCAAATATCACGTATATAATTACTTAAATAATTAATGGAATGTGTCACCTTTCTATTTTACGATTTTGCCTTTCAATTTGAGTCCACGTTATCTTTATTAATATTTTTTATCATGATTTTTTTTATTAGTTTAAGGTTTTATTATTTTAATTTCTATTATTTTGGAACGACGTTTATTTTTTGTTACATCAATTATGACGAAATTGCTTTTAAGATAATTTTTTCAATATAGTAAATGTTTTATTATTTTAATTTCTATTATTTTTAACTGTCATTGATAATACAGGTGTTTTACAATGCTAAAGGGTTGTTTGTTTACTTCAGAATGATTAAGCGTTGAATGATTCAAATGTTGAATGATTCAGAGGCTCTATATGAATTAGCTTTGAATGTGACATGTTGTTTGATAATGGCTCTGAATCATTCAGAATGTACTTTGATGTTGAATCATTAAGCACTGTTTTGTTGAATCAGTCAGCACTGAATCATTTAACTATTGTTTTTTTAAGAAAAATATTGTAATCTTTTTTATTGATTTCAAAACTTTCATTTATTTAATCGTATTATAATAATATTATTGTTACTATCTTTTCTAATATTTATATTTTATTTTAATTATTTAATTATTATTCGTTTATTTATATTTTAGAAAATAGGGTACCAAACATATTTTCATTATTTTTATTTTTGGAAATAAGTTTTATTTATATTAACCAGACATGTTCTCTATTTTTTGAAAATATGAAAATAAAAATTGTTTTCTAAAAATAAAAATAAAAAAAATATTTTTTAAAAACCCTAATATTTATAACAATATTTTCTGACGTTTATCAGCAAAGGGTAGAATATTCAAATCAATTTATTATCATATTTGTTTTTGCATTGGTCTCTATGATAGATTAGTATGTGGATTAATTAATTAATTACAAGCTCAAGTCAATCTGGTTACTATAGAATATACTCATGATTTGATTCGATAGGTTAACTACCACGAGCAGGGCTGTAAACGAGCTGAGTCGAGTTCGAGTATTGACAAATTCGACTCAAAAACTTTAAAATGGAGTTCAATTTTGCTTGAAAGGTCGCGAGCCTAAACTTTTCAAGCTCAACTTGAACTCAAAACTATGGATTGAAACTCGAAAAAGCTTGAAAAACAAAATCTTAAATTTAACTCGGTTAAATTCAAACTCGAACTCAAACCTAAATTTTAAGTATATAAAAATCTTATAATGTATTTTTTTTAAAATCAACACATATATTTTAATATTATTAATAATTAATTTTTAAAAAATAAAATTTTAATATATTATTTTTTTCGAGTTGTTCGCGAGCTTTTCGAGTCTAGTATCAAATAGCTCATTTCGACTCGTTAAGAACTCGAGTCGAATAAAGCTCAAATAGAATTCATTCAAATCAAATATTTATCAAACTTTAATTGAATCGAACTCGAATAACTCACTATTTATCTCGTCTATTTACAGCTCATAATGATCAAAGGCTGAAAAATAGGTTTTAAGGGCCGTATAGTCTTCCCAAGTGTCATGCATCGCATTATGATTCGTTAAGGTAGTAGCTTGTTTGTTTTTTCCTTCCTAAAATCAACAAACAAATGAAATTTATTTGGGCGACAATTGTGATGTGTGATCAAAATCAGGTGGCTCCCCCTTCCTTTTATATTAAGAGTAAACCACATGTTTAGCATCTCAAATATCACTTTTATTCCGTTTTAGTCATTCAACTAATATTTTTTTCAAAATCATACCTAACATTATATTTTGACTTTATTTTAGTTACACATCGTTAAAAAAATAATATAAATGCCGACGTAGCATTTTTATTTTTTTTACAATGATGGTATGATATTATCTTATGGTTACATGTTAGCATCACTATTAATTTTTTAATGGTGTGTAACCATAATAAAACCAAAAAAAACAAATGTTAGGTAATTTTAAAAAAAATAGCTGAGTGACAAAAACAAAACAAAAATGATAATTGGGGTACTAACCGTATAGTTTACCCTTATATCAATTATTCGGTTATGCTGTCATACAACCAAAACAAACCACACATTGGAGTGAAAAAATAAAAGGGGAAACTTTGAAGGAGTCAATGAAAATTGGATAGTTTGGCTTTTGCTGATGCTTTGCTTGGATTTCTTTATCTATACCCGTCACGTGCTTACTATAGTCTTACCTTTTTCAAGTCAATTTTAGAATTTAATTTAATTCATTCATATAATTATCCTTGAACAGAGCGATATTCAGTGAATTTAAAGATTGGATCTTAAAATTAATACTAATTTATCCAGCCTCCAATATACAAAATATGTACATCTTTGATTCCATCGATGTTGTTATGTAGAGGCTCCTAAATATCGATGGTTATGGCCTTCTCATTAAGTTTAAGATGGTGGCGAAAGTAAGCCCTAATTTCTTAAAAGAAAAAATAAGCCCTAAATGATAAACGTGCTTAGAGGGAAAAGGGTGAATGTTCACCTTTTTATTTAACAATTAGAAACAATGTACAATAAAAAGATTTTTTTTGAACAATTTATATCTACAGGAAGGGAAATTTTGCTTATGCGTATTGGATACACAACTTAGAAGAGAGTGAAATTATCAATTGAGAGTTTTTAACCACATACTTTAGAGACTGTTAACCGAAAAGATTAATTTTTATAAACATTAAACAAGTTTAAAGAATATAAAAAGATTAAAAGTTAATTTCTTTTATTAAATTAAGGTTATTACAAATTAGTATATGTTATAAATACTATCAACCATTTGATAATAAATGCTCTATCACCCTTGCAATTGCTGGTGCTCAAACTAATGACCTTTAGAAACTATAACGATTCCTTTAACCAATAAGGTAATTTAATTCTTTCATATTAAAAGTTAATAAAAAAAATTTTGGACAATAATGCATATAAACCAACTTAATTAATAACGGTAGGTAACCGGTGGGTATGTTCAATGTTGAAGGGTAAGTCACTCATAATTTTGTTACTGAAATGAACATGGAGTGCTTACATTTATTTCGTTAGGCGATTTAGGGAAATGCAATATGGAAAACAGTGATTTTTAATTCCATTAAGGACAGAATTGATCGTCTCTGTATACCATGGGGCATTAAGGAGTAATTGTAACAATTAACTAGCTGACCGGATGACAAGTTGATTAAATTATATTCTTTTCTTTTTTTAAAAAATATTCATATCAACACAAAATTTTATTTATGTCCATCTCATTTAAAATTTTTTTGTTGATATGAATATTTTTAAATGAGATTGACATAAATAAAATTTTAGGATGAACATCATCAATAAAATAAGTAATTAATCGAATAAATTTTGAGTTTCATGGCATAAATAAAATTTCATGGTGGACAACATCAATAAAATAGGTAACTAACCAAAGAAAATTCAGATTTCAAGGCAAGCACGTGACCACCCTTAATCCTCAATAGATTTGTCACTGTATTCAACGCATTTTAATTAATGAATATATTTATATCCATAATATATCCGTACTTAGCACGTAAGAATAAAAAACTCATTTAGTCTTAATGGTTAGAGAAAGTATTATTAAAAAAAGATTATGTAAGATAATAAGAAGTTGCTGTGCATTGCTAAAAGGCCGATAGGGGACATGGTTGGGTTGTCTATTAGGTTTAGACTTAGCCCATTTTCAGAATTCAAGTCCAAAGAGAAAATGCCTATTCTTATAAGATTAATTTAAAACTTATTTACATCTAAATTATCAATTAACTACACCTGACTTTTAGAATTAAAAAATTATAAAAACATTTAATCAACGTTTGTCATTCTTCTAAGCCTCCTTTTTCTTCTACTGCAGCTTTTACATTTATTTTTAAAATCATATATAATTATTATATCATTTACTTCACCAATAAAATATAAATTATGGCAAACAGGAAAAAGAAAGAGAGAGGATAAAACCATATATAAATTCAGAGCCAAGTCAAGGATTAGAGAAGCTATTAATCCAAACAACAGAATCAAGAGTAAAAACCTGCAAGTTGTAGCATAAAAAAGGAGCTTGCACAAAAATAAAATTAAAACATAAGATAATTAATGATCCATCCTTAAAACTACCTGGCCTCACATCTTTGCTCCTTTAGAGATGGAAATGTCTCCAAAAGGAACATGCTGTTTCACTTTCAAGAAACCTTGAGAAGCAAGAACTGCAAACAAATTCCATCATTACTTCATACAAATAAGGCAATTCAAGTCAGAAGCAGAGGGATTTGTATTTGCATACCACATGTCTGATAGAAGAGCTGAGCTGCTCCTTTTCTGCTCAACCCCGCTGCCAAGTTCTCTAGGGATTCTACTTTAGGAGCTCCTGGCGTTTCAAAATGTATTTTCATATGCCTGCATCCAATTTAGGACCCCCCAAAGTTAATTTTTTACTTCAGATTTATATAAAGGATCAACATATACACAACATACGTCTTGATGTTCTCGGTCATTATGTCCGAAGGAGGATCATCCACGGGAGTTTCCCTTGTAAGTTGAGTTACCACCATGAAATCTGGAAGAAGAAAAAAAGTGATGGTGTTGTTATTTGTTAATCACCATATTGGATGATGAACCAATTACAGTGACTGTTATGGCCAAGATGCTGACCACTTGATTACCTGGATCAGCTGCCAAGTTTTTCCTTCCTGGCCTTGTTAACTTGTAATCAGTATCCGCTTCACAAAACGCTTCATGCACTGTGTCAAGACCACTATTGTTTCTCGATGTTGATCGCACATTCTTCTTCTTTGACCCAACCCTGCAAGTTAATAACAAGGTCTTAGGCATATTGCTGGTTTCATGGATACAAGTTTATTCTGCCTTATGATTTATTATGGCAGATGAATCTTTACTTACCTTTCTTTATTTACTTCTAAGTTACCCAAGGGGATTCCATCTCCGGATACTGAGCTACCATTGGATCTTACTGCATCTCCTGCAAAATATATATCAAGCTTAATTGATACCACATTAAGTCTGCAAACAGAAGAGATAAAACATGTAAATGAGAGATTTTTCATACCAGAGTTTCCTGACGAGACAAAGTGATTAATTTCCACTGGTGTCCCTTTAGTTTCCTTACTTCGCGGTAACTCTACTGCAGCAACATGAGATGGGGAACCAATTCCACTGTGAAGATCTTCGAAAGGCTTCATGTTCCAAAATCAGTCAGACATAGGCCCTACATATGCATTTCAAGGTAGCAAACTAAGGAAGAGTTGCAAGACTTACATAATCCATTTGATAATCAGAATGTAATCTCTCTGTAGAAGAAGGTTCATGAGGTTTTGGTTTACGAGGTAAGGTTCTCACTGCACACGCATAGGATGAATTAACTTCCCCGTATTATTTCATCAAGAACTTAAAAAAGCAAGAATAAGTGAAGTCTAACCAGAAGGTGAGTCATGGTGAGGTTGATTGCTTTTCTTCCACAGGTCCAAAAGTGGTTCTGGGTAAGGGATTTCTTGGTTTCCTTTCACAAACATATCATCCATTAGCACAATAGATGGGAGATCCATGAGCTTTGCTATCTTCAAAGAAGACAGAACGCTTGCGGGCCCCTGAAAAATTTATAGCGTATAAACCTTGTGTTTGATCATTAATGATTGAAATGATGGTTTTCTTCGGATGGAATTTGTTTCCTCTATGACATCTTCTGATGTTTTCTTTAGAATAATGCGTACCAAATATTCACCTACTGTGTAAGTTTAGAGGCTAACAAGTAATTTGCGTGTGCAACATAATAATACACCATTATCATGCTCAATATGAATGAGATAAATTGCAAATATTCAGGGCATACCCTTTTCTTCCTTCGAGTTCTTGATACAATATCTGAAGTTTCATGAAGCCAGGAGTGGTAAACATGATTAGAAATAACAGTTTGCTCCTCATCCGTAATAATTCCTTTGGGCTTTCTTGTTTTTTGTTTTCCTCGCACCTGCCTCTGTTTCTCAAGAAGATTAAGATCAGCAAAGTTTGTATTTTAATCTGATTTTTTACGTAACTGTTAGAAAAAAATCATTAATGCATACTCTGGCTTCTTTGTTTCTTTTAAATTGTTGACCTAACTCGTTCTCTCGATACTGCTCTTGGCTTCCTCCAGCTGCAGGAAATATGCATGAATATCAAGCTCATTCTCGTTCATAGTTTCTTTTTATGTTCTTTTTCGACTTTCCCATGGGTTAATAAGACAAAAGCCAAATAGTAGGCTTATATTATGAGGACCTCATTTTGACTCGCAATTCATGTTTAACAGCAGTTACCTATGACAACAAATGCTCAGAAAACTTTAACTAAAAGCTTCATTATATTTTCCATATTTCTCAAATTATTTCCTTCATAATATAAAACCTAAAAGCATACAAAACTTGAGTTGCAGTATTCTTGACTAATTGACAACAAATGCTCAGAGAACTTTCATGTGCCAAATTAAGTGGAAATGTTCACTTGGAAAGATTATTCAGTTCTTAAAATGGTTATTCAGTTCTTAAAATGGTTTAGATCTTTAAATAAAAGCTTCATTATCTTTTCCATATTTCTCAATTTATTTCCTAAAGAATATAAAGAACTAAACGCTTACAAAACTTGAGTTGCGGTAGTCTTGATTGTAAAGCTATTATACGACTCTGACCTCTTTGAGGCTCAACTTGCCGAGCTGAGGAAGGAATAGGAGTAGGGTGCATCTCAATATGCTCATCCAAAGAGAAGTTTACTTGTGTTCCCTCATCAACTTCAAATCTGTCACAGTAGTTAAACATATTAAGCAATTATTCAGTCCACGGACGCTCTACTGGATTATTAACTAAAACCTTTACCAACAATGCATGGAACCAAGCTTTTAAAGTTACCTTTCAAAACGACCATGACTATTGGTATTAGGCTGAAATAAATCAGGTAAGGTGATGTCATTGTCATCAACTGTAAAGAAGAAAACCAGATTGGTGTACAGCATAGTGTTATGATAAAACGAGCTTGATGTACATGTTCAAAACTACCATATACGGTAAAAGCTCAGTGATGAAAGAAAACCTTGATGGTGGTCATTGGCAATATTATCCTCCATGGGATTGCTGGTAATGTAGTATTCATCGACTTGGTCAAGTTGCTGTACATCAATAAAGGTGACAAAAGATTGGTGTCCAAAACAGAATTTCAAAGGAATTTTAATACAACTGCTTTGTATAGAGAAGTTCTATTCCTTTGCAATCTAATTAAAGATATGAACACCCAACATGGCTGGTAGTCATCAGAATGGTATTTTCACCAAATAATAAAAACGAGAGGAGATATTAAGATAGATTAGTGGACCATTTTCCTAAAAAGTTATACATAAACTGCTAAATTGGAAAAACAATTGCTGCATGGTTCATCACTGTGCCCCGAAAGGAAGAAATCTACATGAAGAACAAAAGGTGAGAAATGAGCTTCAGAAAACGAAAAAATGTCCACACTTATTATCAGCATTGAATTACGAATTTATAGGACAAAATTGTAAGCTCCGTATGGATTGGAAAAAGTCCGCACTCCACACTCGTTTTAAGCTTTACCCAAGCCAAGCCAACCGGAGAACGAGTTACCAGGCCTAGTAAAATCTTGGAAAACAGACAGTATTGTTAAAACCTCATGAACTATGGAAAGCTTATTTAGCCATGCTTTCAAGGGGTCGGCTCCCCTTTGTTGTGTTTGAGTTCATTATTTTGTAATATATAATTAATAACCACAGTTATAAGTAAGGCTTTACAATTAACAAGTGAATTTAGTCAGGTGTTTGATATGTAATAAAATTAATTAAAAATAATAATGAGCTGTATCTTCAAGATCCTAACAGCCAATTAGCCACTTCATTTATAAAGAAAACAACAGTGAATTCATTTAAAATACAAGGGAGGGGAAATACTAATTGACCATCGTATAATAAACTGAGAAAACAACATGGTAGAGTAAAGCACACATTTATGGAAAATTCGTTTTGATCATTTCCATCAAAATATCAAATAAAATGCCCTTACCATGAATAATAAAGGGATGGGGAGGAGGGGAGAGTTTATATGACAAAACTTTACCATATTAAGATTATTTTGCTTAAACCCCATAGAGGTTTCTTCTTCAGGTTCTCCAGCATTAGTGAACCCCATGGAGGTTTCTTCATTTTCAGGTAGCGTAATGGATTTTCTCCTGCACTCAAGGGGGGCAAGTAGACAGAATAACCCAAAAATTCCATCTACTCAATATTCATTTATTTTTCAAAGAAGGAATGGCACATATATACAAGAGATTTTACTTGGCTTTTGATTTTCCTTTCGGGAGTAATGTTCGCTCTTCCATTACCTTCCATGCGTTCCTTATTTCAACCTCAAAACAACCCCACAAAAAAATCAAAAACGTTTTTCTTGTTCCTTTTTTGAAATATCAATACAGTTGAATCAACAGAATCGAATACGCTCATTTAAGAAGAAACTTATAACAAAAAGGAAAGGAAATTACCAGAAACCGATTAGCATCATCTGTCAAGAGAAGACATAGGAGCATTAAAATCCCGGTAAAAAGTAAAATGATAAACACTAAACTTATAAAATAAGGGTCCGAAATTAATTTACCATGAAGGAACATCACTTTTTTCTCATAAAGAATCACAACACCACCTAAAGAGCATAACGAGAAAATTAGTAAAAAATTGTTCCAGATAGTGATGGAAATTTGAGAAAAGAATGCTCGTATTCAGTTGATTTACCCATGAGAATGCTAGAGAGTCGAAGAGCCATCGGAACCGGAGGATTTAGGATCTCTTCACTGTTAAAATTACTTAAAATATAAATTAAAAAGAATAAAAAACAAGGCAAGAGAAAGAAATTGAAATGACTGGAAAGGAAAATAGAACCAGAGTCGAGCAATATCGAGCTTGTTAGCTTTTCTTCGATCGAGCTTCGCTTGCCTAGTACCAAGTAACCTTGAGAACACAAAATCACAAACCGATATTACTCGTTACGTATACGAGAAAGCCAAACAGATTGAGAGCTTATTGTTTTTTTTTTTGGCAGCGAAATACTCCATTTCACAAAAAAAAAAAAAAAAAGAGATCACCATATTTGGCCGAGGGAAGCTTTCCGAGCAAGGAGCTCTCTGGAGTAAAACATAGTGTTCTTTGGTTTCTTTCTTAAAAAAATTAATGGAACAGAAGAATTTAAAAAGAGAGAGGAGAAATGCAGAAACAGAGGTTTGGTTAACGGAGAGGTTGTTATTTTCGTTTGTCTGCGCAGCGAAGCCAATGGCAGAAGCGATCCGCGCGGGTTTCAATTGCATGCAAATGATGCAATATAGAAATATATTTTGAACGACACCCAGAGTTTTTTTTTTAACTCACTACTAGGTGTATGAAAAATTTATGTTCTACTTCTTATTCTTGTACGAACCGCAGGTTATTTTAGCTTTTTATATTTAAATATATGTTTTCATCTAATTGTGTAAATTTTTAAGATAAACTATTCACCTCACTTAAAATTAATTAATTCATCATCTTAGGTTAAAAAAAGGTAAAATAAACATATGATCTTTTGACTATACGATGTTTTGTTGAGTCTATCAACTATTAAAAGTTATAAATGATCATTTCACTATAGAGTGTTGCTTTCTTGAATTCCCGACTATTAAAAGTTACAAAATGGTCACTCGACTATTTAGTATGTTCTAAACTTGTCATTTTCCTTTAAAAAATTAATAGCAATCCGAGCTGGATGTTAACCCGATGACTGAAATATGATAAAATTTGATTTCATAATCTAAAAACATTATCATATCTCAATCAACATGTTAACATCCAGATAAAAATGTTATCAATTTTTAATGAAAAATGATGAGTTTAGAACATACTAAATAGTCGGATGACCATTTTGTAACTTTTAGTGGGATTCAACAAAATAACACCCTATAGTCAAAAGATCATTTGTGTATTTTACCCTAAAAATTACACAAATAGAAAAAAAGAAAAATCAGAGATAAAATCAAGCTTTTGAATAAGAATATTTCATTAATTATTAAAATGATTCACATTAAAATCGATTTAAATCAGAGAAGAAACGCTTTGCAAAAAAATGATGGAAATGGAGAGTTTATAAAAGAATTGAAAAATAGGAAAGTGTTAAAATGAAATAACTAATTAAATTTGTTTGAGAGATTTTGAAGAAGTAAAAATGGAAGAAAATTAACGTAAAAGTTAAAGAAGAAAACTAAGTTTTAAATTTATGATATAATTGTTTTGAGGATTGGTCTATTTATATTTTAGTTATTTTAATTTTCAAATCAATATCAAATTAATTTTGTTAAATCCATTTTCACTCAAGTTATTTTTAACCTTCAATAAACTCGTATTATTATTATTTTTGTTACCCTTCCGATTCCAAAACTTCGTATTGTCTAATCCAAATCGACATGTATCACACATCTAACTTTGACGGGTGAGTCTCCTACTAGAAAATTTCTTAAAATATAAAAAAAATCCTCTTACTTTTAATTTTTAAAATATTTTTTAAAATTTCTTTGAAATTCAAATTAACTATCTAATTGAAATACTCTATTCTACTAACTCGATTTTAGGGATTGTGACTAGGGGTGTAAACGAGCCGAGTCGAGCTCGAGTATTGCTGAGCTCGACTAGACTCGAAAACTCTGAAATTGAACTCGACTCGACTCGAAAACTCGTGAGCTTAAAATTTTCAAGCTCGACTCGAACTCGAAATCCTGAACTGAAGCTCGTGAACAGCTCGAAAAGGCTTGAAATGAGGAAAAAAATTCTTAAACTTAACTCGGTTGAAGCCTCAAACTCGAACTCGAACCTAAACCTTAAATGCATGAAAATCTTAATGTATTCTCTTTAAAAAAAATCAATACATAAATATTAATATTTTTTATAATTTTTTTTAAAAATATAATCTTATATATTATATTTTCGAGCTGCTCACGAGTTTTTCGAGTCAAGTATCAAGTAGCTCGTTTTGGCTCGTTAAGAATTCGAGTCGAGCTCGAGTCGAGTCCATTCGATCTGAGTATTTATCGAGTCTTGATCGAGTCGATCTCGAGTAGCTCACGATCTGTCTCGTCTCATTTACAGCCCTAATTGTGATAATATACATATCAGTTATCAAACATTTGGTTTTCAATATACATTATATTTATGCAATTTATATTAAAAAAAATACATATTTGAGTTTGTGTTATAAATTAATTATGCATTCATTATAAATGAATTGATTAAATCAATGTTAGATAGCTCAATTGCAAGTGTAGCTGATATTTGCATTATCATTTTTTTAATTAATATGAGATAAGTACGAGATAATATATATTCAAAGATAATTATTTAATTAATATTAGATAAATACAAAATAATATATGTTCAAAGATAATTCTCAACTATTCGATATTAAACGTTTATATCCCTAGTATTCTTGTTGTTCGAACCCGAAGTTTCAAGGAATAACAAAGATGATGAGCAACTCATAATTTATATGTTATTGAAATCTCAAGTATTTTGTGTAAGAGGAGCAAATTCCAGTGTGTAGGAGTTGTGAGATATGATCATAACCCATAATTTTAGCCATGTACAGAGGAGTGACCCCTGTTTTGGTCATGGCATTCGCATCGGCTCCTCTGCAAATCAATGCTTCAACAACCTCCAAATCGCCACCTTCCACGGCCAAATGCAAGGCGGTGTGGCCCTCATTGTCCGGCCTTTCCAAATCGAATCCCATTTCTAAAAGCACCAAAACCACATCCCTGTGGGCTTTTATGGCCGCCACATGCAGCGGTGTCAGACCATATTGGTCTTGGAAATTCATGGAACCGCCCCTTTTCAAAAGGGCTTGCAGCCGTCTCTCGTCTCCGCATCTTGCCGCCATAAATACTTCCTTTCCGCGTTCCATAATCTCCACCATCTCTTCCTGCAAACACCATACTTTCAGATATTTTTATATTGCATTGGCTCTAAAAATATAATAAATAAATTTTGAACTTCCATATTATTTATTTGTTCTTATTTACATTATTAATTTTTTTATATTTTTAAAACAACATTCTAAATAAATATTTTAAATAATTTTAATAAACTTAAATCTTAAATCAAAATATTAAAATATTCTTAAATATAATGAAAAAACGTAGTTTAATAATTTAAAGCTAAACTACTTACGTGTTCCTTATCACGAGCAATGTCAAGAGCTGAACGGCCGCGATCATCCGAAATTGTGGGGTCGGCATCCATCTCGATCAACATTTCCACCATCCTACGGTTCCCATTAGCTACGGCTCTATAGAGTGCAGTCCTTCCATCATTGCTCTTTGCATTCTTATCCGCACCCGATTCTAGCAACATCTTAGCGCACTCGATATTTCCCTTGGTCGCCGCCAAAAGCAACGGTGTTCGGCCTTCTTTGTCTCTCCTGTCCAACGTCTCACGTTTCACCTTCCTTAACAATACCTCAAGGTCTGCCGTCCGATCGAATGTGACTGCCACGTGTACCTCGTTCCATCCCTTTGATTCCCACCGTGGATCCGCCTGATAAAGACCCACATTGTTTCCATTTGCTTGTTCTTGTCCCCCTACCCTTAAGCCGGCTTCCAGCAGCAAATTCACCATGTCCTCGGAATTATCATCCAACTGAGTCGCGACTCGGAGGAGGGACTCAGCTTCTTTCGTTGACAAATCATTCAAAACCGACTTGTGGCGCTTGATAATGTTCTTCACGGCCTCGAAATCCCCAGAGCTAACAGCATGTTGGAGAAGAAAGGGGCCGACGAAGGCGACCTTGAGCTTGATATCCTGAGTGGGTCGAGTGGAAAGCCAAGAGTTGATGGAGTGGGGTTGAGTTGAGTCGAGGTGGAAAGGGGCGGTTCTGATGAGGAAACGATCGGAATGAGAGCGAGGGAAGGTGGGTGGGATCTGGTCTTGGGGTTTAAGGATGATTCGGAGGGTGAGATGTGATGAAGGGGGAATCACTCCACTGGGTGGGTTAACCAGGAATTTATGAGGCGAAGAGGTTTGAACCTTGAAAGCAACGGGGAAGGAAGGGGAAAGGGATCTTAAAACAAGATTACAACGGCATTTGGTGTTGAGAATGAAGTTTATACGTACTTCAGGCTCTGAAATTTCAAGTAATTTTTCCATTGCAGAAGATGAATCTGTAATTTGGAGTTGAAGGAATGAAGATTTACAAGTTGAAAGCAGGGATGAACATGTACAAGTTGACAGCAAGTGTGGTGTGAGAGTCAGAATTGTTGGGGTTAAACCTTGCATGTGATCTTTGTTGGGACCATATGTTGTCGTCTCACATTTTGTTTGGACTCAAGAAAACATTATTTTTTTAAGATTTTAAGCTCCGATAATCGTATATGTATTATTAATAGTTAAAAGAAGATTATAAATAAACACTACTTTATAATAATAACAGATTATATAAAAAATTTCATTTAAATTTAATTGAATATTAATTTTTTGAAATTTGTACTCGCTCTTAATATAAATTATTTTTACCACAACTAGTTGGTTTAGTGGAATGAGGCATTAAATCTCATTCATAAACTGGGTTGAGAGGGATTCCTCTCTGCAATATCCGATTCAGATTAGTTAATAAACAGATCGAATACAGGTTGTTAATACCAAAAAAATATAATTGGTAGATTAATTTATTAATCATTAGATTAAATTCATTAAATATTTTTAATTATAATTATAATTAAATCAAAATGATTTATCAATGTTAAAAATTATTTTTAATTTTTAAAAATTAAAACTAAATTGATTGTATATATAAATATAGAGAATTATATATGTTATTGTATAAATTTATTTAATTATTACATTAATAATTTCTTCAGTAGTCGACAATTGGTGGTTTAGTTAAAACTTAATTGATAATTTAATAATTTAATTAAAAATATTAATTTATTAGTGACCATGAAATCGACACATAGTTGAATAATGAGAATGTTAAAATCTGGTACCAATCCTTAGCATGTATATATTTTTGTAAGTATTTCAGGTATTTTACATCAAGAATAAAAAAGAGAGGCATTAGTGTTTGGTTCAAGTGGTAAACAATTTGATATCATTTAAGTAAAGTTTCGAGTTCGAGTCTTTGTGTATGCAAAAAAATTCATACTGAAAAATTCACTTATTAAAGTCAGGTGTGTGATATGGATCGATCCAAATTAATCGAGTAGAAACGTTAGAATCGGAGGACAACCAAAAAGAAAAGGAGAAAAAAAAAGAGAGACGTTGGTTTCACCTTGAAAAGCAAAATGTAGATTTATTATGATTATTATTATTCCTTTGAAGATGGTGAACAAAATGTCCAAAAGCCCTCTATTGGTTGGGCCTACTTGTTCTTTATGGCATAGCAAACTCAATCGACTAATATTTGCTGTTTCATGTGCAAAAGTCTCCTTTTCTATTTACACTCCTACTTCGCATTTGCTCATTCACTTGGACGCCATGAACCCTTCTTTCCCACAAGAAATTGGCCTTGGTAAAGGCTTGTTGACCAGTGCAATGATCTCAGTACTGGATTCAGCTTCTTAATTGTTTCCATGGTGTCTTGAAGCAATAGATATCCATCAGGTCTCAGTATGCGGTCCATCTCCACTGCTATATCTATAATCTCACATCTGGGGCACGTGCAAAGTAACACAATCTTTAGCAATAAATCATAAGGAAAATTTAGATCATTACTTATGCACATACCTCAGTGTACGGTTTTTGAAGAGAAAACTGGAATGCAGCAGATCATATGTTCGAGGGTATGTATTAAATGACTCGCACCAGTCGTGATAGATTCCGATCAAACCCCTTTCGAAAATAATAGGCAAGGTATCTTGTGTATCAATGGGTACAACATTCATCACCCATAGAGGAAACTCATTGAGTGCCGCTGCAAATCTGTAAAAATTGCAATGAAGATGGAGTTGTAAGAAGAATAGAGATCTGTAAAAACACTATGCAGATAGTTTAAATTGTTATATTTCTTACCCTCCATAACCAGCGTTCATGTCCATCACATTTCTTACGCTACCCCATTTTATGGCTAGAGCATCAAAATAGACATCCGATACGAGTGATGCCCAATGTTTGGTGTCCTCATTGAATATGTCCTCTGCATCTGGTTCAGATGGAAGGCTTTGAGGGTTACTGGTTAGCCTCTGGGGCCATGGTGCAGGCCAGCTGATCAAATTACCCTTGCTATCAACTGGAAGTCTGGAAATACAATAACTAAGGCGCTCATTCCTGTCAATGTGAGTTACAAATCATAAGGATCAATCTCGAAATAAATAGAGGCCTTTGATATAAGAAGTAGATATATAATGCATCGTAACCGATTACCATTGGACCTTCTCCTTATGTTTCTGATCACACAAGGGTGGACGTCTTGCTATTATGCTGGGGCGGAGGTCATAACAGGAATATGAGGAAGGCTTCTGATATATTACAAGCCCAACTCGAGTCGAGCCAACTCTTTTCTCCATAGCCACAACCTTCCAGCATATGGATTTTGTCAAAGCCTCCATTGCTGTTATATATAAAGTACCAGACCAACATAAGCACATTCAGATTCTACTAACAAAATGCTGAAAAAACTAATAAGAGAGGTGACCAATCATAGCAGGATAGAACAAGTAGTCAAAGCCTCACACTTCCAAATTTTACGATCCTTGGCATCGTTTTGATAAACCGGTGTAGCAGACCATATAAAGAATCCTCCAGGCCTAAGAACCCTGTTCAGCTCCAGTAAGGGCCTCCCACCTGCATTTTTGCATTAAAAAATCAGCAGCAAAGTCTCAACAATTCCATTGTATCAGGTGTAAAATATATTAACATGGTCTGATGGTCGGACTGGAAGGAGTGGAAAGATACCATACCATCAGCTTCCCAATGAACTCTGCATCGTGCACAGTGTATCAAATCATATGCATCGTCCGGGAATGTCAGCTTTTGCGTGCCGATTACAGAAAGTGTAGCAGGAATTCCCCTCTCCAAAGCAAACTGTATCTGAGCTTCATGTTCATCCTTTGGGGCAAATGACATGGTAATCACATCTTTGTCCAGCAAATAACCACCGAAGCTAGCCACACCACATCCAACATCTAAAACAACCCTAATGTGTTCTCCCCATTTAATCGCCGGTAAAGTCTGGAGTAACAAACAGAAAACGAATCAGTAATCAAGTATTTATGGAGTCTACTCTTCACTCTTCAGCTAAATGTGATAAATGAATCAGTAATCAAGTGCTAATCTGCATAAAGATTGGAAGATTGTCGTATATACCTTTTGTATAAAATCAATATAGTAATTAACCCCATCTTTAAATTGAGTACCACCTCCAGGGAAAGAAAAATAATCACCAGATTTACGCACCCAATTCTGATCCTTCTTGTATTCCACAAGCTTAGGATGAGGAACGTTGCTATACCAAATCTGTAGACGAGTAATAATGAGTCATGTTTAGCAAATAAAACAGCATTCGAGCCTCTCTCCAATGCATATTATCATCTGTTTCAATTCTTTGCATTTCACAACTCTTATACCTATTCAGCTGCAACTAGTACAAGCTATTGATCTCTTCAAAACTTACTTTAACAAATCAACCATCCCTAAACGATATTTATTTACCCAAGAAAATATGTTTCTTGACGAAAATATTATCTAAAAAAACAAATATCTTACCAAAAATAAAAAGTAGCAGTATCAAGCTCACCATGTCCCTGCTCTTAGGCCATTGAATGGGAACCTTATAATGGAGGGGCAAAGGCACCAAACACCTAGGAGGGCGAAGAGGACAATGACGTTCCCTATGTTCCATGTGTTTCTTGGATTTCAATCGCTTAATGGCTTGGGAATTATCCAAACAGGGTATATAATCCACCGTCACGGATCCTAACCTGCAATTCTTCCATCTTATATTCAAAGTGGCGTTCAAGTCAATGTCTTGAGGTGGAGCCTCCTCCTCCTGGGGTATTGGTGGGGTGGAAATGGGAGGAGATAGGGAGACGTGGAAATTGGAGGAGATGGGGAGGGAAGTGAAAGCGAAGAGGAAAGGGTAGAAGGAAGAGGAGAAGGTGAAAAAGAAGAAAGGCAAGGCAAGGAGGAGGGAGGTGAGAAGGAGAAGGAATGGATAATTTCGTTCACCCATGGGAACGCAAATCCAAAGGAAGAAAAAATGAAAGAGTTTTGGATTCAGAACTGAGAATGAAAAGTGGAGTTTCTGTTTATATGTCAAAGCTGTTATGATTTTTTGTTCATAGTGCACCCACCACTTTGCTTCTTTTCTTTAACCGAAATAACTGACAATATGAACGAAGGAAATTAAAAAAAAAAATTAAAACAGAAAAAAGCGCACACCGTTGGACTCAAACCTACAACCACAAGATTAAAAGCTTTGCACTCTACTAACTGAGCTAGACGGGCCATTGATAAGTTTTCTAAATTATCATTTATAGATTATAATTATAATCAAACTGAAAAAAGAACAAGGAAAAGAGAAATTATGCTTGCAATAATAAAGTTATGAAAATGTTTGAAATGGAAAAGTAGAAGATTAAAGAAAACTGAAAAGGCAATAAAACCATTTTGAATTATATATATATCCATTTGACTCATAAAACATGGGTATACTATAGTACTTAAAATATTAGTGTTGATTCGTTTTAGTATTTAAACTTTTTATTTTTTTTCAAAATCATATCTAACTTTTAGTTTTTGTTTTATTTTAGTACTCCGTCGTTAAAACTTAACGGACGGATTGATGTGGCATAGCTCCAGTGGACGAACGACCAATCTAAACGGTGGAGCACGAGAGAATGATGAGTTGACCAACATTGTCCAGTTTCAGGCCCATTGGACGGTGAATCATGGAGATCGAAGGATAAAGAAATCGAAAAGTCCATCGACGATTTGGGGAGATTGAGGCTTTCCTGATGATATGGAGGTTGAAATTGCATTTAGGGTTCGAAAAGGTACAGACTAAAAATTTTGGGCTTCATCGATTGATGAATGGGACAACCGACAACTATAAACGCGACGGCCGATGAGCTCGTCCATTAATTTTTTAACGGCAATATACTAAAATGAAATAAGAACTAAACGTTAGGTATGATTTAAAAAATTAAACTTTAAGTACTAAAACAAACTAAAACTGATAGTTTATATACTAAACACGTAGTTTACCCTAAAAAATTCATATCTACGATCAAGCACGTAAAAACATAAAACTCTCCCCCTCTCTCTCTCTTGTGCTCTAATTTCTTTGCTTTCTGAAACTACGTACGGATCCATCCAACTAGTGTAGGATGTCTCCAGGACTAAGTTCTTTAGGGATGACAACCCTCATCATTTCAGCAGCTAAAAACGCCTCCATGCACCGAAACAACTGCCACCACTTGGCTCACCACGTCAACTTAACAGCTAAGCTTTTGGAGAAGCTGCGATCCACGGACATGGTCACTTTGTCCGCCATAAAAGAACCCTTGGATGGCCTTGATCAGGCCCTCAACCAAGCTCTACAGCTGGTGGAGAGTTGTAGAGACAAAAGCTTCCTTTGCATGCTTGCCACGAGATGGGCCATCGTTCACCAGCTTCGCCATGTCCAAGCTGAGATCGATCGATACCTTAAGCTCCTGCCTTTGATTACTCTCGTCCATCAATGCCGAATCCAAGTAAGAAACATTTAGGTGGTTATTGGTTCGCTGAAATCTCTTGAAATTAGGGGGAATTGGAATCTAATTCTACCACTTTCTCATGTTTGGTTCAAGTTTTCAAAGGGAGAATCGGAATCTAATTCCATCAAGGGAAGGAAAATAAATTTCATCTATAACATGATGGAATTGAAATCATTTGGAGTGAATCTAAAATTTGATCATACTACCCTCATCAATCTTTTGGTATTCGGGTCGGATTTTTTTTTTGATCAAGTCGGGTCGAGTTTTTTTAAGTTTGATATTCGAGTCGGGTCGGGTTTTTTAAGTTTGATATTTGGGTCGGGTCGGTTTTTTTAAGTGTGATATTCGGGTTTGGTCAGGTTTTTTTAAGTGTGATATTCTGGTCAGGTTCGAGTTTAGGGTGAAAAATACACGACCCGACCCGAAAAAATATATAATTTTATATTATATATTTAGGAATAATTACAATAATACCCCTCTATATATAATTTTTTTTCAATTAAGTCATTGTTTTTATTAAATAAAATTATTTTTTTATTATTTCAGGTCAGGTAGGGTTTCTAATTCATATATTCGAGTCGAGTCGGGTCGGGTGAAACTTTATTTTGGTCGGGTCGGGTGAAACTTTATTTTGGTCGGGTCGGGTCTCGGGTGGAGGTTCCCTTGTTATCGGGTCGGGTCGGGTGGACCAAAAACCCAACCCAACCATGACTATCCCTAATTGAGATGATTTTAACTTATGATGTTTATTAGTATGATTTTTATAATTTATTGAAATGAATAATCAATTAATCAATAAAATAAAAATTTAATATTTTTTAAATTTTTATAATATATTGCTACATGTAAGTTATAAACAAACTAAAATTAAGCAAAAAAAATAAGAAGGACAATTCTGTCATTTTGTATTACTGAAATCAAATTTATTTGACATGTCTGCGAACCAAACAAAATATGGAATTGGATTCCGATTCCAATTCAATTTAATGCCAACCAAATAGGTTTCAGATTCAAATTTCAATTCCTTCATAGATTTCAATTCCCTCAAAAACATTCCAGCGAACCAAATGGCACCTTACTCTATATATCCAAGATTATTTTTTCCCTAGTTTTTTTTAAAGGCCATAGGCATTCCAATATGCAAGTTCCCAATAGTCAAAAATTGCCCCTAGATGACATGAAACTGTGAATAGTCTAGATTCTGAAAAAAAAAACTTTGACTTCAACTATTTGTCGGTGCAATTGAACTTTACGTTTTATTAAAGAAGTTTTGCATGTTGAAATGATGAATCCAGAACTTGGAGGAAGGGTTACAGGCAATTGAGCAAGATGAAAGAGGGTACGCTGTTGATGAAGAAGATGTTGAAGCTCAAAGTGTTATATTAAGGTCTGAGAGAACAAAGAAGGATGCAAATGTATTGGAGAAATCTTCGTCTCGTAGATAACCCTCAACTGGGTTGCAAGGAAGCATTGCAAGAAGAAAAGGTGAAACTCCATGCTGAGCTGCAAAAATCAAGAACTGCTGATGATTCTAAGCAATGTCGTGTGATTGAACATCTAATTGATGTCACTAAAAACGTTATCAATGTGCTTCCGGGAAACAATGTTCATAAGCTTCTTGTCAATGAACCAACTCATGTTCAATCAAGGTACGCAGCTCTTTCCTCAAATGAAGTTAAAAAAAACTATGTTTAATGGCAGGTTGATCTTTGCCTAAGTGAGTTGCAAATGGTAGCTTTGGGTATTTGATATGACCCCATGGTAATTCTTAATATTTGCTTTCAATGTTTACAGGCTTCAAGACATGTATCTATCCCTGTGGAGTATTTTCGAGCATAACTAATTTAGTTTCCAAAGGAAATATATGTAAGATTCGACCCATTAACTTGTTCAAATTGTTACATAAATTCCAAGACTGATCCCAATTTGTTATACAGCTCGAAAGCAGGCGATCAGTAGTTTAATGGCCTACTCCTTGATATGCGGTTGTTGTTGTTACTCGTGTTGCGTGAGGAGTAAATTGAGATAACTTTTTAACTTCGAGGTACTTGAATCTGGGTATGCAGTAATATCATTAAAGATTAACAGTTTCGGAATTTGTTTTCTATGAAATAAACGGACCCTAACATTATATTTTGGTTTCTTATCGATCACTCACCTTGAAAAAAAAATAATGGTAATATTGATGTATCGACATAAGATAGTATCATATTATCACTGAAAAAAATTAAAAAATGTCACAAATATGTTAATTTTTTAATAGTAGATTACCAAAATGAAATCAAAATATAACGTTTGTGAAGACTTTAAAAAACAATAATTAAAAGACAAAAACAGAATTGAAGTGAAGTGAAATGATAATTGGATAACTAAATACGTAATTTATCCTATCATTAACCATCAAATTTAACTATAGTAATCCTAATTTCATTTTCCTTTTTTCAGGGAAGATCATGCCATGACTTTATAACCCATCTCATATCCTGCTGTTGTGCAATGGAACAGGAATGGCGAAAGATTGAAGCCGGAGGCGGTTAAGTTTATATTTCCATTTCTTCTTAACCATTATATTAAAATGAGTTACAATTACAACATGCTCTTAAGACCAACTTTGTGCTAAGCATTCACATAATCTATTACTGGATGTGAAGAGAGAATGATGATTCCTCCACCAGATCAATACATGAAGCCTTGAAAGTATCCACAGATATCCGACTCTACCTCCATGTGGTTTCTATTTTATTTTATTTTTTCTAAAAATCAAGTAAAAATGATACAATAATGTTGAACATCTTAATTCCTATGTGTAGACACTCATTTTCTTAAAAGATAGAACTAGTAATAGTTTCTCTCCTAAGAGGACTCTTCTACCACCATATCTTTTAAAGCAACAACCACACCAACAAACGTGCAACAACCGAACAAGGAGTCTAGTTGTATTAGAATTCTATTGTTAATAGGATTCTAAAAATAGTTAGTTTTTTCACTATAAATACATGTAATCCTCCTCATTTGTAATATAGGATTTAAAGCACGAAAAAATACAAAGAAAAAGCTATTGTAAACGATTCGAAAATGAAATAAAAGGTAGCATCTTTTTTTACATTGATTCATTCATTTCTCGCATGTGCATGTTATTTTTCTTGAGATTTGATTTGAATAACCCAAAGCGTGGGTTGCGCCGATGACCAAAAAGGGGTGGGGTTTCGAAGTTTCGAACCTAGATCTACTCCCGAGGCACGTTCATTTTTTAAATTATTTAATATTCCCCCTAAGTCAATCTTAATCTTTAATTTACCTTGAAATTTACCCTTTAATTTTACTTTTATATTAATTTTGTCCCCTATATATATATATATTTAATTATATTTTTTATTTTCCTCTTTTTTTATTTATATTATATTATTTTTATTATATATATCTTATATCATTATATATATATAGATGTATTAATGTTTCTTCATTTACTATGTAT